CTCAATTCCTCCCATATACGTTTACAAACTACTAGAATATAAAGAATATCTCGTTGATGTTTCCATTTCTCTAGGGCTACATTAGCGGAAATGTTTATTTATTTGCTTGAGAACTTTGTACCACCTTTAGAATCGAGTTTAGAAACAGAGATAAAATGTGCAAGTCTTCATAAGTTAAGGAGATTTAGAAATAAAATTTGGAACATAATGGTGGGGTTGCATCTTGCCTGAAAAGTGAGGGAATTTGGCTCAGCATTGAATTAGGAAAGCAAAAATTGGATTGTCTTTTTCATCTCTCTTTTGGGATAGTTTTCAAGTAAACATTTTGGGGATGCTACGTGTACACAATGGTGTACACGCGGCTTTACACTCTCATCACATGGAGGGGCCCACACACAATAAAATATTCGTGGACTCCTCTCCATGACTCCATGTGAGAGAGGTGTAAAGCTGTGTGTACACCTCATAACATTTTTCAAATATTTTATCGATTTAGAACACTCATTCCAATAAAATCGATTGAGAGCATTGAGTACTATTTACACTGTGGAGGAGATGAAAATCTAGCTTAAGTCCCTTTCGGCACGTGTTTTGCATGTCTACAATGAAAGGGAATATGACAGTAGATTCTTTTGCCATCAATAATTTAGATATGCACAGCAAAAATGCTGTTGATGGATAAATTTCACAAAGAATAAAAATAAAAATATTAACCAACATATAAAAATTTAGACTATTCTTCGCTCGGAATGGATAGACTGAAAGTTCCTTACCTTATGTAAAGTAATGTTTATTTTTTTAACAGCTTTTGAAAGTTTTATGATCATTATCTTCGTCTTCTCTATTAAGCAGCTTTTGGAAATTTTTCAAGTCTATCATAATTTCTAAGGAAAAAGAGACCATTGCTCCAACATAAGCTTATGCCCCTGTTTGGTATACATTTTGAGTTCAAGAATACATTTTTTTTTGTTTGACGTGATAGAGAATGTGTAGTCGAAAAAGAAGGAAAATTTATTGATGTGATAGAAAATATTATTTTATTGAATAATGTGACTCAAACTTTGATACCCTTTCTCAATAATGAGAAACAGTTGGGCGCTTTTTTTTTTTTTTCTTAATTTCTCGTGGGGTCAAATTCTACCATTCTTTTGTACTTCGTGAACGTGATAAGAGATTGTCATGTTGAAGTATGCAAAGCATACGTATATCATAGTACAATCATGCTACGAATACATTAAATTTGACATCAAGCTTTACATTGTGACACTTGTCGCTATCATATTGGACAGTTTTTGAATTTAACACAATTTCCCTCCAAGCCATTTTTGAATATACACACAATGTCAAACTTCATGTCACTCAAAGAATGTACAAATGACTTAATCAATCGTAGTATGGGTAGATCATGTTAGAGTGATTTATGTTGAAAATAAGCATTGAGTCCAATTTTTTATAAAATAGATTTTGTCAAAATAAGATGCATATATTTAAGTGCTTACTTTCCTTTGTACGTATGATGATGGGACAGTACATATAATTGAGCCCATAAAAGGTGCAACTAATTGCCCCTCTAAACTCCCAATTGACAGGACATTCTTTACTCATTTCCCAATTCATTGTACGGAATGTACCCAAAGTGGCATTTTTATTTCCTATTTTGCCCTCTTCAATCCTCGAGATTAACAAAGCCTAGTAGATAATAGATTCGTTCGAGGTATACCTTCTAATGAATTTGTGCAAGGATACCTTTTTACATTTTCCCCTTGGGGTAAATGAAAAATGAGATAAGAGGTATCCGAGTTAGGGCCCGTTTGGCATGAGTTTTAAAAAGTAAAAGTAGCTTTCAGGATTCAAAAATAATTTTTAGACCTGTTTGATTAATTCCTTCTAACGAAGAGAATTTTTAGAAAAAGTTAGTTTAATGTTACTTTCTTTAAAAACACATTTGCAACAATAATATTAAGAGTAATGCTATTCATCTCCATTGGAGATAAAAACACAGTCTACATAGCGTTAATGTAGCATTAAATGATATATGAAATTAAATAAGTCATTTAATTTCACCTTTCATTTAAGATATCATCTAAAACTGTGTTTTCATCCCTACTGGAGATAAATAGCATTACTCTAATGTTAAATATACATTCATTCCTTTACATCAATTTTGACTTTGACTTTGTTTTTTTGAAACTTGTGGGTTGGAAAACAATTTTTTTAAAAACTGTCCAATAGTGTTTTTCTCACCGACACAGTATAAAAAATGATGTATATGTAGCATGATTGTTTTTGGAATAAAAAGTTCATTTAAAAGTTAGTTTCCAAATAAAATTTAAATTAGCTTCCTCCAAAAATCCTTCTACAAAGAGGCAAAAACAAAAGTCAGGACAGACATGCCCTTAGTAGATGATTCAAATACATTTTTAGACCACATTTTTCGAGATTAACATAAGCATTTCTTGGAGCTTTCGAGCATATCACATGAAGTTATATATTATTAAAATGTAATTTTTAATTAAAAATAATTTATGACCAATAAAAATAGATGCTAGTACAACTTAATCATGTGCCTCAAATCAGATTTACATGGGTGACAAGAGAATTTTTAATCCTCGAAAAGAGTGCATATGTTAACAGAAAATAGAAGCACACACATTGTATTTCTAGCCCCTGTTTGGCCCCATTATTTTGCAGTTTTTAGGGTTTAAAATTTTTACAATAGTAATTTATGGGAGAATGTGTGGTTGAATTTTTTTTGATTTGTGTGTAATATTATTTTATTTCATGAAAGTGCGATTGAAATGAAGAGAGAAAAATTAAATGTAATGTAATGTAATTTAATGGGGGCCAAACAAGGGCCTAATCAATGTGGAGGAGCAAATTCAAATAGAAGCACTCACATTGGGTTTAGGGACATTCAGGCTCCTAAAATAATATTCTAATAAAAACTTTTCTGTCATTAAGCGTCCGTTTGTCCCCATTATTTTGCATTATAATGAGATGATTAGTAATTTTTTGGATAATGCGTTGTTAAAAAAGAAAGAAAAGCTTTTGAATTTACATGTAATATTATTTTATTGGAAAATGTGTGGTTGATCAGAAGAAAGAGAAAAATAAATTATAATTTAATGGAGAAAAATGGGGGCCAAACGGGGGTTAAAAACTAGAAAATTATTTAAGATATCATGATAAATTCTTTTTATGAAAAAAATAAATAAATAAAACATGAACAAGTAGTAAAATTGTGAAACATAGTGGAAAATTGGGAATGCGATGAATACATGAATTTTGTGGTCGACTATGTTTCTATATATATATATATTAATGTTCTAAAAATTTAAAAGTTGGCAGAAATAGCCAAACATTGGAGAGAAAAAAAAAAAGGTGAGAACTGATGAATAATTAATATTTTCTCGAAAAAAAAGGGTGAGAAAAGATTAACCATTGATTTTACAGCCCCTGATTGATCGATCTTTATCCTGTGCATGTCCAAAACAGAGAGATACTCATAAGATAATAGTTGCCGCAGGCTTGCAGCATTCTCTTAGGCTCCTGCACTACCAGTTCTCAGAAAGTGGATAGGAGGATGGAGTGCGCCTTCTTCCGCAATCACAGCCTCGATCTTTTCATCAATTGGTAAGTTCAGAAGTGCATGCTCTTGAGTTAGCTTCACATCTGCGTGTTACAATGATACTAATGGAGCAATAGCCCCACAGAGGCCTATAATGATCTGTTTCTCCATGTTGTACTTTGCAAGAAACCGTAATTCTTCTGCTGCTGCTGTTTGCAGTCTAAGCAATCTGCTCTTCAAGTCTTCAACAAGTTTTTCAACATGGGAAATTGTAGTCAAATTAGTACAGTCACATTATTTTTTTCATTCTCATTATTCTACTCATTTTCAACCACACATTCTTCAATAAAATAATATTTTTCATCACATCAATAATTTTTCCTTCTTTTTCAATCACATAATCTTCATCACATCAACCAAAAAAATGCATTTTTTGCTACAAAATGTGCACCAAACGGGGATAACCAGAAGTTACTCCGTTGATGTGGCACTAGATCCCGATTCACTCCTGCTTTGTACATACAATGTTCAGGAGACAAGTCGAATTTTGTTTCGATGAAGATACCGCCATCTTCTTTACAGAATCTAGAAGAATCGCTAACCTTTCGCTTCTCGGTACCACATATACCTTCGAAAGAGATTCTTGATGTTGAATTTGTCCTTTGTAAAGGATATTTGTGATCATCTTCGTGATTAATATGTTCAGAACGGGATTGAACCAAGACATTAGTTGGACCGTCAGGATTGTTGGAGAGTGTATTTCGTTTTCCTCTCACCAATTTGCTATCAGAACCTTTTAATCGTATAACACTAGAAATCAGATTTTTGTGTTGGAGCTTTTGACGAGTTTAAGGGCAAGTGCATAGCCCTTGATCGAGCCATTTATGAATGGCATCCTTCTTGTATGTTGGAATATTCCCCAGCCCTCTCCAGTTCAACCCAGCCTCTCTCTCCAGTTCAACAGTAGCACGTTCACCAGCAAACCAGTTCAACAGCAGCTCATTCTTCCCTCTTACAGATTCTAGCTTATTCTAGATACTTCTTTAGTTTGTTATCTTGTTAGTTTGTTAGATAATTTGTTAGCTATTTTCTCTATAAATAGAATAGATTGCATTGTAATTTCCTTAAGTTGATTAAATGAAAGTTAATCTTCTTCCCTGCATCTCAGCAGGTCTATCCGGGTTTCTGTCATTTTTATTTTCAGTTTGTTTGTTAGCTTTCCTTCCTTGATTTTATCATGGTATCAGAGTAGGGAAAAAAAAATTCCCTTTATTTTCAGTTCGTTTTTCTACTTCTGAGAAATGGAAATCCATGAAAACTGAAGGGAAAAAAAAAGAGTTCTAAAAGGATAGTGACTTGGCTCACTAGAT